ATTGCTGACAAAACCCTTGCTAATGCTCCACCAGGAATGGCATATGCAGCATGCAAATTTTACTTGCATATCTTTGCAAACTCAGCACAAATAATTGAAATAAAACCTATGAATTGGACCTGTGCCCAAACTTCATCCAGATAAATTGTTCCTACAGAGATAGTTCAGATTACAGAAAACTAATTGCTAGAATCCAACGTTTTTCTGTAACAAATCCAGACAGGTCTTACTTTACCTTTAATCTCTTTCAGACACAGGGAGGAAGAAGCATTTATTAATAGGTGAGAATAGAGAGCTGCCTTGCTCTACGCAAACCCAAACACCTCCATTCAGTGAATTTCAGTGGCAGATTAATTCCCTTGCTATTGCCATGAATGGTACATTATATTTGGCCAACACTAAGTAACATTATAGCAGACAATACATTCAGTGTAGAAAACTTGAGAGAATTGACTAATACAACAGGTGTAAAAAAATTTTCTCTTTCAACAGATTTACTCTTGCAGTTTATGTATAGCTAGTACAAGTTATTTATCATTTTACCTTGAGGCAAATGCTGAAGTCAACACTTCTGGACTTCAGAGGCAAGTAGGTACCTAAGGCAAGTTGCTCAGATGCTCAGTGAGGCTGAGAAAGATGCTGAGAATCTCCAGCCTCATCCATAGCCTGTCTCATGCTGGAGAATTGCTAAATTATGCTACCTGATCCCCCAAATACTCCCCGCCCCCTCAACTTATGATAATGGTAAAACAATTTGTTTCAACGCTCACCATGGTCTAGAAGACACTTAACAGCTTCATAGCAGTCAAAAGCAGGAGCTTGAAATTACTCTGTACTTGTAACCCAGCTACCCTCGATTTTACTGTTTATTACTGTTCTTGATGGATTGTTTGAGTTTTCAATGTAGCTGAGTTTTAGTACAATCATGCCCTTACTCAGTGGGGATTGCAAATATATGTAACTGTTTATATACTCTAAAGCAAAGCAGCTGGAGCAGCGCATCACAAACTAGCACAAATTGCTTGGCATACTGTAATGGGATTACAACCAGCAAATTTGCAACTTACGCTTTTCTAATGCAAGTGAAAAATCTAGTGGTTCTTTCAACCTAAAAAATACTATGGGTAGTCAAGTCTCCTTTTCCTATAACAGGTTTATTAGTTACTAACAAAGATAACAAGGTGGTCTTGCTACTACTTAGCTTTTCTCCCCTGTACATGACAGCAGTGTTAAACACAAGAGCCAACTGATCTAACAATGGGGATGCTGCTACTTTCCTGCTCTGCTTATGATGCACCGTGATGGATGTCAAGATTTTGGTCTATTTTAAAAGAACACGATCATAGAAATAGCAGTTGTCCTAGTTAGAACAGCTGGGAGCAGTTCATCACTGTATGGGTGTAACACAAAACTGTGTATTCTATAGCCTTCCATGCCATTTCCCAGAAACTGTTATCGATGAACCATTTACACCATCTGCCCAGAGCAGCCTGACTCCTCAGGCTATAAACTGGGTGTTAAGAGGCCTGGGAGAGAGGAGGGTGCCCCTTGTCCTCACACCCATTGTGGAACTCCCCACCCTGAGGGAGGTACTGGGCATTCCTGCCTGAACTGGAGAATATATAATCTTGGAGTCTTGGGACTTTTTTAACCACTCGTGGGATCCAGAGGAAGACTGCAGACCATCATTCTCAACCAGACTGCAACCACCACTCTTGACCAGACTGCAACAGCACTCTTACCAGCAGGTTTTTCCTTCTCCTTTTACTTTGGACTCAGGGGGCCCAATGAACACCACTCTGTTCATGCCCCAGGGTGCTGGGTTATACATTTGGGTTTTGTGGGTTAAAACCAACTGTTTGTCTGTATAATCGTATTTATTGTATTATTTTATTAAATTGTTATTCTGACTTATAATCTCTCCTTTGAGTTGAGTTCATTTCCCCTGCTGGTTTACCTTTAAACCAGCACAGCAGTAGACAAGTATTTTAACTACCTAGCTTATTTCACCATCAAAGCAGGAATACAAACTCACTTTTGCTTTTCACGATTCCCCTTCAGCATACTGACTACAGAGGCTGCAGAAAGGGATTCCTGTAAGAGAGAGATCCTAATATTATTGTGGTGTCAAATAGAATTCAAATTCTAATCTTAGTGAGGTTACTCCCTGATCCAGTGCATTACTGACTGGCAGAAGCATGCAGTGGTAGATAAACTAGTCCCTGATATATATCCACCAATTTATCTACCATGCTTGCTTGTTCTCAAAATCTCAGGTTGTTTTTTGGTTTTTAAGTGACCAGCTACTCTGCTTGTCAGTGCTGATTGGCAGTCCTGTTCTCCCCTTCCCCACAACATCCAGTCTCTCTTTTGTACACAGTATGAAGTAGCATTATGCCTTTCAACAGCAGGGAACTGCTAGATCAGCTCAGCCATCACACAGAACTTCACCCTACTATTTAGTGAACAGCCATGCCAAGAAATTAGTTGTACTGGTCCAGTCATGCATCAACTTGAAATCCATAACAGGCAGTCCAGAGACTGTGGAAGGACTTCCCTATTCCATGATAAGCAAAGAAGCAGCGTGATTCCTGGCTCCATAAGACAAGCAGAAGTCAGGCAAGCACCTCTGCACTCCTGGCAAATGGATGAGGGCTCATACATCTCCTTGGCCTGAGGCTAGGCTTGCTTAATGAACTTGCTTTTAATATTATTTCCACACTTGGAAATACTAGGTCTCTGGATTCCATTCTTTATCCCTGTTTTACAATACCATACCACTCTCCTACAGAAACAGCCAATATAATTTCCTCTATCATTTACTCCCACACTGTAGCAGGCATGACCAGCACTGCTACTTGTGCCTATCCGTATACAAGAAACGCCAGACAATTCGCTGCAGGCAAAGCACGCATGGGATGGCAGATTCTTTTCTGACATACTTTCTGTAATCATGCCATTTTTTATGGCTTTACTTGTAAAATGCTGCTGTTGAGCCTCACTTTTAAAGCAGCTGAACTTGGGAAAATGATCAATATCAAATATCAAAGTGCTGTCTGATGCCTCTAAGGAGAGGTAAAACTGCAAAAAGTAGTAAATGCCCTGCTGTCATCCCTTACTCAGTAGGAGCCAAGAAGCAAACTGGAGAGTCATTTTTCACCTGGCCTGCTAGAGCAGACTACCTTACTAGAGTGCCAGCCTACTGGCATGTAATAAGTTTCCAAGGGTTCATAACCCTCTCCACTGTATTTCTGAAGGCAGTGATTAGTTGGAGACAGCTTTCCAGATTCTTCTTTCTAGCTAGTTGCACATCGGGTAGATGCTGCAGCATTTTTTTCTTCCTTTCATTGTATTTGGTCAGCTGCTCAGTTAAGCAACAAATCCCATTGTTTCATGAATAGTTTATCAAGTAAAGCACAACTAAAGGACTGTGGAAAACATCAGCTGAAGAACTACGTACTACAGAGTTTTAACTAGTAGCTTATTTCAGAAAAGAAAAAAAGCCTTGTAGCCGGGTGACAAGGGGGAAAAGAGGTGATGCCCAAGTGCCTTGTCTTAAAGTAGCCTACAGACTGTACTTTTTTATCAGCAGAAGGCCAACTCTGGCTCCAGAGGTATAAAAGGAACATTTACTTGCATTTTCCAATTCTGTGAAAACTTCAGTTTCACAGAGATGACTTTCACAGAACTTTGTCTGCTAGAAAAACCAAAGTGAATTAACCTTGAAGTTAAAGCTTGCTTACCACCTTCTACTTTCCAAAAAACTAAAAAACATACCTTCACAAAGTCCCTTTCAAAAAGCAAAAAGGTTTATTACCACCTGCTTTGAAGTTCCTTCTTCCTATTTTCTGCTCTAACATAAGAAATTCATATTTTATACTTGTTTACTGGTCTTAGTTTGCAGTTACTACACTAGAGCCAAAATCAAGGAAGATATTTTTTAATCAGACCAAATTTAGGTTACCTTTGAAGGAAGAGCTATGTTATGTTCCAATTCCTGATTACTAGGGATTCAGCATGCTCCTTGCACATTTCACAATAAGGAAAGAGCCCAAATTGCTGCTTTTCCTTGAACTGAAAACAAGTTCACAAAATGAGGAAAATATTAAATCACTATTTTGTGATAGGTACTGTCAAGGGATGTTTATTTGGCTTAATTTAAAGACTGCAAAATGGCAGTCTTTGCAGTTAAAGACTGCAAAACTTAGCACCTTGAATAATCCAGCATGAGAATATTGGAATTTTTACCAAAAAAAAAAATGAAGATAACCTCAAACATGCTAGGAAAGACACGTTATTCCACTATATGCTATCTAGGAGGATAAGATACACAAGCTGTTTAAATAACATTGCTTATATTAAACCAGATTGCTATTAGAGGGGCAATAGTGAATCTTTTAAGTATTACTTACTGTGTCAAGCTGGATATAGAACTTCCATGCCAAAGTATTTATAGATTTAAGTAACCATTGATGGATTAATATACTTCTGACTTACTACATTTTGAAAATCACTATTTATTATAAAGGAAGCATGTTTTGATGTTAGCAGATTGAATTTATTCCTGGTCACTATAATTCTAGAGCTAGTAGTCTAATCTTCAACCTGTATTTGTGTTGACAGAAAAGTTTAACACCCTCTCCCGAGTATCTTTCTAAGAACTTGTGTCTCTTCAATAATTCAATTCCCAGTCTTCAGCAGCTATTACTTACCACTTAAATGAAGTTATTTTCGTGAAAGCTTATTATAGACAGTCAATTTGACCTCAGATTCTTTTAAGCCAGTGCATTTGCTGTGAGATCCATCAGAAACTACTGATGTGTACTAGGAACTGAAGTACATTGGAGAGAATTGCATTCCTGTGTCAATCCTGGAACTGCCAATCCTGGTTGTACAGACTGTACATGTTGGTTCAGTCCACGTGACGTTTCAAGCCCTATTCCTCAGATAACAGGGAAAAAAGATTTGTGTTTTTTGGCAAAATCCATAAAATTCAGCACTCAAATTTAACCAAAGGGTAGTTTTATTTCCCATTAGGACCATCTCAAGGATGTAACCGAATGTTGGAAAGCCCACAGAAGGGCACATACAGCAAATGTGGTGAAGTACAATGTGAACAGCCCCAAGGGTTCAAATAAAGTAGGACTATTAGCTAACTGGAGGAAAAAACCCAAATTAAATCTCCGCAGAAGATGTTGTACTTTCTTCTCCATTTACACTGAAAAAAAGAGACAAATCCAACAAAATCCTTGTATCTCTAACAATACATTCAGTCCTGACTAAAGAGTTTATCAAGATGGCAACAGGATGACTATAATACAAAACGTTCACTACTACACTCTGTACACACCTGTTGTCCAAGCCCTCCCCCAAACCCACGTGATGATGGTGCCCCCATCATTTGCTTGCTTGCTGGGCCTGCCTGCGAAGGAGGACGTAGATCTTCTCCTTTATCCAGTCTTTATTGTACGGTTGGTATGTCTGAGTGTCAGCACGGTAACTAGAAAGAAAAAAAAAATGAATGATAATCTGCCCTGCAGTACATTTACCAGAAGAACTTCACAAACAATTAAGTGTCCTCAAGTGTATGAAGCAGAAAGCTGTGTACAGATCATAAGTAATATCAGAAGTAGATGGGAACTGCCACTTATCAAATGGATTTATCCTGTTCCCTAAAAAAGTTACGCAGCAGATCAGTCTGACCCTGAAATAAAACTATATGTTCCAAGGATTATTATCGAGTGACTGGATCACAGTGTGTTCACATTTTAATTCATGAATACAATTACTTATGGGAAACAACTAATGGAGAATCTTAGTATTCTAGAGCTCAGAATGAAGAATAGTTCCACCAGGGAACGATCAAATTTGTCTTAAGGAGCCAAACACTTCTACACTTCTTTATTAAGTTTTCGAGTGTTCAACTTTTGTCTGGAATTTCCTGAAAATTTATAAACCCAAAATTTTCCAGGAGCAAAGGTAGACTCAGAGATGGATGACAAAGAATTTCCTGCCAGTGAGGACAGGCTTGCATCTAACAAGGACACTTCATAAAAAGCAAACTGAAAACAAAACTCCACATGTCTTCTTTGCTGCTCAGGGATAGTTGATAAAAGCAGTTTCCTAGCAAGACCAGCAGGGGCCAGAGAATTCAGTTACCCAGAACACTGCTGAATCGAAGCAGAATGAGACTGAAAAATGAAAGCAAATTGCCTGAAATTGCATCTGTGTAGATTCATGCCTTTCTTTCTCCCTCATTCATTAAAGTTGAATATTTTGTTCATGAATATGGTACTTTCAGTGAATACTTCAAGAACTACTAAAATTCTGATCAGTCTTTAAATCCTGGTACACATACTTCTGACCAGGTAAGAAAGGTGAGATGGTCATTGGTAAGAACCTGAATAAAAATCTGAAGTTAGCTCAATCCAGAACAATTTACAGTTCTTACCTAAGGAAAACACCCTAAGCACACTGTTTCTAAGAAAGCCTTGTTATTTAAACCTCAGCATGACTTGTTCAAGGCCAAAGAAAGAATTTATGTTGATAGAGCAGTAGTTCTTGTGCAGTGTAAGAAATGTTAGTTTCAGGAAAAGTTATTGATTTCTATCCCCCACCCCCAAATCCACTCACAATGCTATACCACAAGATCAGACAGCAAGTACTTCAGGAATCTCCATGAACACAGGACATGTCTGATACACCTCTTGCTAAGTATGCCATCTGGTGGAAAACTAAAAGCTGAAGTAGAATTTGGCAGGACACTGAGTTAACGAGCCTAATTAACAAAGGCACAAGACTGTACTAGAAAACAGCTGCTACCTCCTAAAGCAACTGGCGAGCTTTAGTCTGTTAGATAAACTGTGGTTTTCAAAACCTGCATCAGCCCAGCAATATGACACTTGAAAATCAAAGGTGGCAGAATGTCTAGGGTCAAGCTAACTGCAGAACCTGTAAGCCCATTTTACTTATTCTACTCAAAACTTTAGCAAATGGCATTTGTAATAAGTCATTATCAGTAAGAAATTTTGTACTGTCCATCAGAACACAAAGGAAAACAATTTGATGCTCAGGGTTTTTTTAATAAATTATTATTTTAAACTGGAATTAACTGGCAAAGTCTGTTCACTGTGCAGCTACACAAGTACTTGCACCAGGATTTCAGCCACAGCAGTACAGTTGCAGGAATGTCTATACCAGAAACTCACTGGTTTAAAAATGTTCTGGAATTTTGAGATTCAAAAGCCTAATACTATGTCTTTTGTTACTTGAATATGAGATTTGTATCCTTATTCCTACGGAATTTCTGCAAAGTTGATACCACTGTCATACCAAACCATTACCTTGATATTTATGGTATGGAAAGTACTCAACCTAACACTAAGTTTTGTTCTGAACAGTGAAATTTAACATTTGATTTCACAGTGCAGTCAGAATGGAAAGTACTCGAGACCATCTTTGCTTGCCCACAAGTCCGACACACAAATGAGAACTGGAGATAATGTTTTCACGAGAGCATGTAAACAATTAGCTAGGCTCTCTAGAAGATTCATCTGTTCCTCGGGCACTTCATTAGCATTTACAGAAACTTCCATCTTGCTGTATCGTGCTCAAAATAAACAGTTGGCTCTAATGCACTTCTGTAGACTGCTACTGTACCACTAGTACTGCTCTCAGCTGGAAAAAGTTCTGTAACTATTCTGCCTCCTTAGGAATCAGACCAACATCACAAAGGCACATACAGCCCCAATTTAAACAGATTCTAGCAGTAATAAAATAAGCAGCTGTATTAAACTGTTGGATTTCAGTATCTGAAATGCTGTAAGCTTCAATGTGACTAAAATCCAACTGGAATTGTCATTTTCTAAGCCTTCCTTAGAGATTTCAATGCAGATAATTGGAGCGGGCAACATGTTATGGCAGCTACAATACTGCTGCACTACAGTTACTGCAAAAAACACTCAAATAAGAAAATGTAAGAGTTTAGAGGGAAGACTTGTGACTTCCCTGAGTCAGTGAAATGGATTTATACAACTGAACTTACACAAGACAGCTGAGGTCTGCCAAGTCATCAATGAAGTCAAACAATTGGCTGATATCGTATGTAATGGATGGACTGTTGGGATTCATTCTCTTCAGATGCTCTTCATACATTTTACAGACTCCTACAGAGAAACAAGTTTAACAATGCAATGTTAAAAACTGTATTTGCTGAAACTTCTTCAGCTATTGATCCACAAATATAAGGAAAGTTTAGAGATGAATACCATAAAAACAGAGAGACAGTCAAGATTTTGCAGAGTTGAAATTCTTTTGTTCTAGCTATTTGCATTGAAACATAATACTATAAAATCAGGTAAGATGCACGGAAAGAAGAGTTTTCGTCATGTAGAGGAGAAAGTTTTAGCTCTATCAAATATATACCTTTCCATGCAGTAAGCTCCAGTGGACACCTAGAACTCCTTCTAATAATTTTAAGACAGCAATTACAACATATATTTCTACTGTACAAAACACCTGAGAAACAGAAGAACTCATAAGAATGATCATTATTGATCACAGAGTCAAACAGGACTACTAAGGTAAGACTGACAGCACAAACCTAAATAGTTTAATTAATTTAAATCAGTTTTATTTATTTAAGCTAGCCCACAAATAGTTCAGATACATTTGAGAAGAATGTAATGTTAATGTGAGCATAGAGGCTTTACACAGTCTTTAATATGCTTTTGTTTGCCTCGCAAAACTTCCTGGAACATTAATGTTAAGTGAACTACAGCTCTAGTATGTCAATCTTCTTTCCAAGCTCATTAGGTGACTCAAAGTCCCTCAGGATCTTTACTCTGGCACATACACCAAGAGGCTGTAAGTTATGTATCAACTGCACACAATCTTTTATTTAATATATTATATCCAGTAGTAATCTTTCCTTTACAGTGCTACCACAAAGATTGGTGAGAATTAGGTGCTGATCCTGCAATAAAATGAACTGAAGCAAGTCTGCTGCATGGCCCCGCCAACAATATTGCATACTCTCACAAAATGAATGTGACTTCATCTAGTTAAATCAAAAACAAATATCTAAGATTAAAAGAAAGTTTTAGGAACAAATAACAACTAGTTGTTAGTTTGCTAGAACATTAGCAAACTAAAAGCATGAGACACTTTTTCAATTTTTTTTTTTGTGAATTACCTTTGAAAAACATGAAGAGCAATTCATTTTCTTACTGAGTAAGTTTGACAGTATGTCAAAAATGGTAGTTAAAAACTGGTGTTTAAAACCCCATGTCTTCACCCACCTTCCATGCACTCATTCACTGATTCATAATCAGCGTATGTTCTGCCTTCTGGCCTCTTGGTAGGCTGGACAAGTAGAATTGTGTGAGACTGGAAAACAAAACAAACATCAAGAAAACGGGTTACTTGCACAGTTTGAATGATTTGTGTTTAAGTAATTTATCTGAAGGAAGCACCAAAAAGCAGCATAATATTAAAACAGTGAACTAGCAATCAAGGACACATTTTCCAAATAGCATTTACTATTCATATAAGCTGGGTTAACTTTTGTTTCCAATCAGTCCTATCAATCCTTACAGAATTTTAAAATGTGTAAAATCACCAGTAAAGCAGCTACTGTGTTGAAAAAAGATACCACAGAAATAGCAGTTTCTATCAACGTATAAAAGCTATGGCATTAGTGCATTTACTTATTTTATTCCAAATGCAAGCTGTTAGTAAGATTTCAAATGCCCCAATTAAAGTGCAAGGAGGGGATTCAACTTAATCACATTGTCAACCTCACCTTTAAGATTTTAACAGCAATAGCTATTTTGAGTTATTCATTTAATTTCAAGGGAACACAAATTATATAACAAATCTGCACTTAGTATTCAAGATTATTTATCCTGCAAAACAGATGTACTGGGTTTTCACACTTCAATGAGTTTACTGAAACAGCAATTATGGCACAGAAAACTGTTGTAAATGTTGGAGTCCATAAGCTTGTTCTTCTGCAGGGAAGACTTAGATGATTGTACACTCTGTGGCTTCCATTATTTCCATAACATTTTTCACTTTGCTACTGCAAGTAATTTGAGCAAAGAGTGAGCAAGAATTTTTCAAAGTGTACACAATCTGTGATCTAATTAAAAGGGTGCATAGCACAGAAAGTTCGCAAGCACGCTGCAAAAACGGCCATTTCCAGTGCTGCTAATTGGATCCAACATTTTCAGTGCTAATATAAAAGGTGAGCACACAACTAAGAGGCAACTGCAGAGTAAGGCATATTACTTGGCTTAAATTAATCAACTGCTGACAGAAAAATCCTGAACCATACCACCAGTTCAGTGTTTATCACATGCCATGACAGAATATAGAAATGGCAAATATTAGGATTTACAAGAAATATATAAGAAGAAAACAGGACAAATTCTTGTCCCATGACTGACAGTGTTCTCATGCTTGGAATAAACAGTTTTCAGTTCTTTAAATTCTGTCTCCAATAACACAGCAGTTGCAGAGTCCGAGAAGTCCAGGGAAAAGTTACATGGAGTAAAAGAAGCAGCAAAGACTTCTCCCAGTCAGAAGTGGCAAAAGAGGGGAATTGAGAGCTACACACTGTAATAACAAGAATCATACAAAGCAGACTAGATCATTTAAGTCCACTCTCATGTATGCCAGAGGACACTGGATTTGACAGGAATTCCCCAAGGGGGCCAGTACTTGGCTGTTCCTAGTGCACTGCACTTGAACAAGCTTGTCTTGCCAGGCAATTTCTCCAGCACTATCATTTTAATTAGCTGGTCACTGAGGAGCATTAAATTAATCATACATTCTGAAATTATCCAAATCTTTAGATTGAAAAAAATTAAAAAAATCAGTGAGCCAGACATTTAAGCCAGTTCTTTCAGAACTTCACAGCAGAAATTATTTGGGCTTCTGACTTTAAGCTGATTATCACTTCAGACATTATACAATATCCATATCAGATAGTGGCCTGGAAAATATTAAAATTAATGCCATTGGGATCATCTGTATCGTAGAATTAATGCTTTTCAAGCATTTTTTGGAGGGTCTTCATGTTATTTTACCTTAAGGGGAAAAAAAAGAAATTGTTCGATTTGATAAAATTGCTGGTCCGGCCCTACCACGTAGGCACAAAAAATGACAAAGTTCAGAAGCCTGCTGGAAGTTTCCTCTGACTATTACTACCTGCCCCACTTGCCTAGGTGACACAAAACCAAAACAAGGGAAGATCCATAAACCTTTTTGCATTAGCACCAGGTTACCTGAAAAAGCCCAATACGGACCCTTCCCTGCATTTTCTTTAAAAGCATAGGTGGACTGGCTGTTAAGAAGGACAGGTAATGAGACACCATATGTTTATATTATACCAATTCTGAACTTCTAGAGAGAACTTTACAAATTGGTCTTGTTACTCAAGGCAGAACTCTGTAAAATTGGTTAAGACAGGGCCGACAGCCAAACCAGAAGAACTTAAAAGCTAGGCAGCATGTGTGCAAAGAGGCTTCCACCAATTGTAGTCTATTAGACAATAAAGCAAAAAAAAAAAGGCTCCAAAACAATAAAAAAGGAAGACAAACACGGATTGCAAGGGTAAGATGTGCAGTGATACAACTAGCAGTAGCACACTGCAGACACCTAAATGCCTTTTAGTTCCCTCTGCTAGGTAGAAAAAGTGGTCTAAGGGTCACTCTTCACTCTGGACAACACAGAGAAAGCTTGTAGCTCCTCATCCTGGCCGAAGCCAACTGCTTCAATCAAGTGCCAGGCAGATATGGAGCTTCGCTGCAGACCCAGAAGCGGCTTCTTCCCGCCGTGAGGCAACAACTTGCTGCAGCGTATCCTAATTCATTAGGTGAAGGCAACAAACCACGATGAAAGGGAGGCCTTCGAACTTCAGCGTGCCATTCCGACAGCCCACCAACGCACGCTCCCGCCTTTCCCTTCTCCGACCGGAGGGAAGGAGCAGGGACAGCAGCATGGAAAGCGCCAATCAGCCATTTAAGGCAGACTAGCTCGACGAGTGAGACTCGAGGGAAAGAGACGCGCTTCCAGCAGCGCCCTGAGAAAGGGGCCCGAGCTGCCGGGGGGAGGCGGGAGCCCCCAGTCCGCCCCTCCACGAGTGCCTCTGCCGCCTTTGTGCCCCCGCCTCGCCCGGCCCTGCCCCGCCAAAATGTGCTGCCGCCCGCCCGGGCCCGCACCGCCGGCCGCAGCCTTCCCGGCCGCGGCCACCCATGGGAAGGGAAGGGAGGGGAAGGGAGTACAGCTCATGCGGGCGCGGCGGGTCCCGTCCCGCCCGGCGGGTCCCATCCCGCTCTCACCATGGCGGCTCCGCTCCCTCAGCACTGCCAGGCAGAAGTGGCGCGCGGCGATCCCCCACAGGCCCCCGCGCCCGCCGGAAGCGCCGTCGCGCCAACGGCCGCCACCATAGAGCCGCCCGCGCCAGAGCGCCGCTCCCGAGCGCGCGCGCACGCGCCCACAGGGCCGGCGGGGGAGACCTCCCCGGAGCGGCGGGGGCGGGGCGGGACGCGCGGCCATCTTTGGTGAGGGTCAGGGTTCTCCCCGCCAGCCCGCGGCCTCGCCCGCCATCTTGGGGCCGGGAAGCGCGCGGGGCTGGGCGAGGCGCGGCCCGGCCCGGAAGGGGAAGTTCGGACGTGCCACTCGGGCAGCGGGTGCGGGGCGGGAGCGTCGGTCCCGCAGCGTCTCCTCGTCCCCGCTGTGAGAAGCCGCTTGGGTGCTCGCTGTCCGCCTCCTCCTCCCCTGGGAGCGGCGCGGTGCGGGGGAGGGTTCCGCTGGCTCAGGTGAGGGCCGGGCCTGCCCGCCGGGGGCAGAGCCTCCCCCCCCGCCCCCCGGCCTTGGCAGGTCTCCCCGCGCACCCCCGGCTGGGGGCACAGCCGGCCGGAGCCGCCGGGCGACAGAGACATGGCTGAGAGCCTCTCCTGGGAGCTCGGTGTCTGCACGGGCTAAGGCGTGCGGCCGGGCGAGGTGGAAAAGTTGCTGTTGAATTTCACTTCAAGGGACCGCACAGAAAGCGGCGAAATGGATGACTTCCCCTCCATCTGCCTGCTGTCCCTGGCCATGCTGGTTGCCTGCTATGTGGCAGGAATTATCCCCTTGGCAGTTAATTTCTCCGAGGTAAGACAGGTCCGCCGAACTGCTCGTTGGTTGCTAAGGGAGAAACCAGATGGGGAGATCTCCCAGTAGGAGTTAGCGCTGTACTTTTGGAAGTCCGGCAACGCTGTTAGGGGCAATGCTGTAACCTTAAAAGGTTTTTAAGGAAGTTCTCAGTGCGATTTTAATTTTCATTCGAAGTTGCTGTGTAAAATTATGCTGGTTTCAGAGTGCGTATAAAAGCCATTTAAACATGCCAAATTCGAGTCGAACATCTCTGCTACAGGTGCAGCACAGTCTCAGCATGGAAGGACATGAATAGGAGCTGGACTTGGCTATTCTTAGAATTAGAATTAGAAGCTTGTGTAAGAAATTGCTGAAGTCAGAGATTATCTCTTCTTATGTGCCTATGGGCTACTCAAATTAAGGCTTTCAAAAACGATTCCAAGAATGTTATCAGAAAACTTTGACTGACAATTTTGTTCACAGCGTGCAATGCTGAAAATTAGATCTTAACTTTTTGATCACAATACAAGTTCAAGTTACTCCCCTGGGTAACTCAAAGCATTCTTTTGGAAAAAAAACTATCTTGGATAAATAAGATGCTGTTGAGGGAGAGTGAGACTTTCATAGATTGGGTGAGTTTTCAAAACAGTATGGGATTTCATCATTAAGTGTATTTGGTCACTGAGGTGATGACAATTGTTACAGTCTCTGGAAGTCTCCTAATATCCTCTGGTGCCTGGGGGTTTTTTCTCTTTCTAAGTGATGGTTGTTGTATAGAGATATGGTGTAGTGAGAATTTAGTTGTTCTAAGGTAGTAAGAGTGCTCTTATAGGAGGTTTCCTGTTTCTTCTGGAAGCAGTGCTGCTTTTGAGAAGCAAGGTGCTGGAAGAGATGTTACTCTTTCTTCCATCGAGTCAGAGGGTGGGTTGTACCTGTCCTTTGGTCCCATTATTTCTAGGAGGCTTTGGGAGCAGTAGACCCTGAGCAGCATGGAAGGAAAGGCTGTTCATTTCAGGAACAGTACAAGTCAGCTAAATGAATTGAAACCTAACAATGTATTCTGAAGTCTTCACATAAATATTTGCAGAGTTCTGTTTAGCCAGTGCTTGGTCTGATGCTTTGATGGACCTCCCCTTATGTGTCTTCAGTGTTGTTACTTCCAGCATCTCACTCTTCAAAAGTCACTTCTGCCCTGAAGCCTGTGAAGGGTTTTCTTGTGAATTTGCTGAGAGCACTGCCTTGCATGCTAATAATGTCTCTTTTTTAATTTAATTTCACATTTTGTCATGTATGTGTTCAATAGTCACCTGTTTTCTCTGACTTTATATTCAGTGTTGTTTGAAGATAGGGTTCTTGATCTGTCTTTATGTGGTTTATTTATATCGTTGAATCAGTGGTCTCCTAAATCTCTCAAGGCTTTCAGCAGTGCAGGAATACAGATCTTTTGTGGATCCAAAATTCTCCATCAGCAGTAATCATGTACTTATTAGCCTTTTGTGTGTGCGGTATTTTACCATCAATGTACATGTGTGCAATCAAGTTTGTTTTAGTATCTTTAAGTTCTCAGAAATTCTTGACTCAGTTTTACTCTTGATTTAAATTGGGTGTCTTAAGGGTTTGCATGCAATGCTGGTTTAAAAGAGGAGCAGAATATCTCTGCAAATTATATACAAATCATAGCTAATCCTGGAAGTGTCTAATTAGAAGTTAGAATTGTTTTGTTAAAAGTGATTGCTTAGGATTCTGCAACAAAGACGATTTCAGACTGAAATGACTGGTTGTTTGCAAAAAGTTTTGCAGGTAGCCCAAGTGAGTTAAAATGCCTCTTCCTACTGGCCATTTATAATATTTGAGTTGAAAACAAAAGTGAATGCTATACATAATATACTCCAGATGCTGGAGAACAGTGAAATTATTCATTGGTGTTATTACATTCCTTCAGATGAGTTTTTTGCCATGGAACCTATTACTTGTGTTCTGATTTCATGCTGGTTTCTATTATAGTAATTAGAGTAGGATATCCTTGAAAGTATAAAACTCTGGCAAAGCCAGGTATGACTAAACAGTGGTGGTAAAAAGGTGCAGACTGTACCGAGCTTCGCCTTACTTCTGTGTGCAGATGTACCCTTTCAGCTTAATCCTAATTTACAGGACTCAGTTGGTCTAATTTAGGGCTAGAAACAACACTGTACCAGTTCTTGAGGCTATTTCTTAAGTTTTAGTCTAAATGCAAAAGTTTAAAAAAAAAGAGTTGTAGCAATTTGAATGTTTTGGTGATATAACAGAGGCCAGCTGTGTTGTCTGTGAAAGTAGGTATGAGTTTTTTGATACATTCCAGTAAAAGTCTCAGTGCCATGTAGATTTAAAATAAATACTGAGCAGTGAAACAGCTTGCTAATTTGAGGAATTTAAGATTTTTCCCTTGGATTTTTAGCACTGTTTACTGTGCTGCTCCTGTTTTTTAACAAGAGACACAAGTGTGTTTCACTGAAATTGTTTGATTTCTTGGATAAAACTATATTACTTTTGCTTCTCTGTGTAGTCTGTTATTAAATTTCTGTATTTGCCACATCTAAATATTTTGTACTGAAAAGGAGATGGAGTCTTATCTTGAAACACTAACTTGTTAGTGTGTATTATTTCCATGGATATTCAAAATTCACAGATGCCCAAGGGAAAGCAAGCAGTACTCTGTATTTGCAGTTGTAATAAATCAGTATTACTTTTGACACTTTTTCCCTTTTTTTCTGTGTGTATGCAAAACGTGCTATAGTGTCGCAGGTAAAAATAATTTTTTTTCCCTTGTAAGAGACTATGTTTTTGCAAAATGATTATGAAAAGTGGATGTTGAAGGTTGTCTTTTAACACAGATTGCCACTGTATAACAATTTCCCAAGTATAGTTATTATATATGGCACTATAAGGTGCATGTTTGCAGAAACTTTACAGGTGTTTTCATCTCTTGCATATTACTATTTGAATTTTCCCCAGTAATGCTGCAATTGTTTCCTTATGGCCACGTTTGGCTTGCTTTCAGAAGGTTAGCTGTGCATCTCCCTAGAGCCTCCTACTTCTTCTGTGCAAGTGTTGCCTATTTTGGTGAGACTGAACAATTTGTGTCATTATGGTGCACGTAGGAGGATGGATGGCACACGAAGGGTATGTGGCAAGTGGTTTCCCGTTAATCAGACACTGAGTTCTGCGTCCAGGTCCTCAGTAGTTAAAGTTTGTATTTTGGTAGCATTGAGCATGGGAGATGATGATGATGGCTCTGCCACAAAATGTGTGCTACATGGTTGTTAAGAGGACCTAGACTCCCCTGATTGCTCCATGTGATATGAGGGGAGCTCTTACAGAAACTGTGAGAAGTGTCCTCTGCAAACTCTTGTGTTTTAGAGTCTATTAGATGTTCATGTAATTGGATTTTAGTACATGGCTTTGACTTAAGCCTGTCACGAGGAAATGAATTGGTAATTTTATTGATAAAACATCATATAGTGAGTTTGGGAGGAGTGATAAGTCTCTAAGTTTTTTGCCTCAAATTAGAATATAACTAGGAAGATAACCCTAAGTAACAGTACAAGTACTGATAAACTATGTCTATTTTTTAATCTTGTAGAAATTCTTCCCAAAATATGAGTTAAACTATTATTCTTTGCTATACTATAAAACCATTTTTATGTATTGTTGTTAAAGTTTAATTGCAAATTGTCAATACTAATGTAACAAGTAACCTCTGTTAATAAGGGAGATTAAAGAAAGCATTTTTATTCCTGAAGATGATACTTGTTTTGTACTTGCTTGCAGGAGAGGTTGAAGTTGGTGACTGTTCTGGGTGCTGGGCTGCTATGTGGAACTGCCTTGGCTGTCATTGTGCCAGAAGGAGTACATGCACTTTATGAAGATATTTTGGAGGGTAAGAACCAAACCCAGATGGCCTCGCTCAAGGGTTTGCTCTCCATTCAAATTTAATTATGAAGAGCCTATTTTTCTCCTGTAATGTTATGGCTAGTAGTGAATACAATTGCTGTGAACGTTTGCTTTTTTGAAGTTTTTTTCACTAAACGGGGCATACTGTTCACATATGACATCTACAGCTTGCAGTTTAGAGCTACATGGTCTGTAACTTTGTTTAGTTTGTGGAGAAAAGAGACCATTACTGCGGAAATACTCCCAGAAGTATTATATTAGTAATATCAGAAGTATTTACCTAGAAAAAAAAGAATTTGTCTGTGGCTTCAGACTCCATGTCTAACTCACAGTATCATGTCTAAAGACAGTCTATCAGTAAAGATTTTTTTTTTTATATTTCAAAGGATCAGAATTAAAGGGGTATT